AACACGTAATTAGAGATATTTAACTAATTTAACTTGAATGCATGGGACCATTAACACTAGAACCAGCTGCTTGCACGTCTACGGCAAGCATGTCCATATCATGCTGAATTATTAACAAATATTAATTAAACGATTAACAAACCCTACTTTACAAGCTTGCTCTGCATGTGTGATATAATTATCATAACTGAACGATCCAGTAACGTGGAACTACATGATCCAGTCTTCATTTAGCTGTTGTCATTTTCATCTGTGGTCAACGATGGATAGATACTTAGAAGCCTGGCTAGGTGATAACGAGGCAAATAGGATAATACTGATAGCCAGGCCAGAATCATTTTAATTAGGCGACATTTGATAAAAATCTTGAGGATGTAGTTTTATATGATGCATGGAACAAAAACTAGAGAGATGCTAGTACGAGATAATTTTTTCAGCCCGCAATCAAAGTTTCGAACACCCTGAATGCGTGGAGCTACAATGGGGCTATGTGGGCTTCGGCCCTTATTGGCTTAATAGCCCTTTTTTTTAAACTTAATATATATGTAGGCAAGTTTATACATTTATAAAAACTAATAAAACTAATTAAATATCACAGCTTTTGTTAAAATTTTAATGTTAATAAAATTCATATTTTGATAAGATTAAATCAAATGGTTCATAATAAATTTAACTTTTTAAAAATATACCAATATATTCATTTAAATTAAAACTATTAATCATATAACTTTTTTTTTATTTAACAAGTCTAATTTATACTTATGTATTACTTTGCAGGTATCTAGCAGGAAGCGAGTGGATCATGATAGAAAACACGCCCTCCCAGAAGCTTGACTTGGGTAAGTCTCCTAGCTAGACTCATAAAAAAACTCATAGAAAGTGACCAACATAAGTCAGTTGTATAGGCCTTCTAAAGAGCTCAAATCATATGGCATAAATTGAGGGCTCCTCAGCATTGGCATCTAGGCATTCACTACGTGCTTGGACTACTTGTGAATCACTCGTTCTCTCTTAAGACGACCATTTTTACCAAACACAGTTATATGATGGCACTTACTACTCTAAGGAGACTCAGTTCAACCCACCATGATCATCCAATCTTGAGCTCTCCCTTTATGGCATCTCATGCACTCACCTCTATCTACTTAGGCGGTCCTAGAGCTCCCATACAAGTCACTGATCATGTCAACAAACTTGGCAACCTTCAGTCTTCTCTCATATCTACACTTGGTCATATACCCTCACCCTTGTCAATTTGGCACTACCGAACATTATTGGAAGCCACCCATCAATTTATTTTGACCTTGTCTTCCTTCTACCATTCATGTGGTTACACATCTGTCGAAGGTAATAATATGTAGTATTATACGAACTTTCTATGCATAATTTAACTTTCTATTTTTTACATGTTTTTAGCGGTTCATGTTGCCCACATAACTTTATAAGTAAGGGATGATGAGCAATAGTTGAAACCTTATATTGGATCTTTTTTTGATACAGCGCATACTCATCCAATTTCGAGACTCAAAATTTTTTTAGTTTTTTATACCTTCCTCTCTCTCTCTCTCTCTCTCTCTCTCTCTCACACACACACACACACACACACACACACACACACACACATAGATTTCAGAGTCACTTGCCCTCTCTCAATTTCGACCTTCTAGTAAGGACGGGCATTAGCCATGAACAAATTTGGGTCCAACATCATTTCTTGCACTATGAGCATGGATTGCTACCAATTATAGGAATATATATCTGAAATGAGAGTTTAGTCTTCTAAAGAGAAGTGCCCATGTTGCTTAAGCGAATATAGAGAATGCTAACTAAACCACTATCAAAAAGCTCCTAGATATGGAGTAAAAAATAATAAAAATGGATGAGGACAAGAAATTAAGTTGGTGTAGGCACTTAGGTTGTTCAAAAGCTTGCCCCTTAGAGTGATATTCCCTTTTTAAATTTATGAAAATGTTAGTGACTTAATATCCTAGGTCATTGAAGTTGTAAAAAAGCTCACAAGCTCAATGGAAGATGTGATAGGTGCTAAGAGTGATAGTAAAGACCTTTATAGTTAAGTTCCAAAGAGAAATACTGGAAGTGAAGGGCCTAATGCCTATAATTTCCTAGGTCACAATAACCCAAGGATTGAGAGAGATTCCATTCATATTTCTTATATCTTATTAAACCTAAAGACACTCATTGAATTGTTTGAGCTGGACAATAACCATCAAACATTGACGAGTATAACCGAGTTGTCAAGTTTTCTTTGGTCACTCATCCTCACAGATTCTCTACTAAAAGAGAGTAAAAGTGTTAGCGTAATAGAGTAATAACTCATCCTAGGGATAGAGGAATAGAAAAATTAATTTTCCTAGAGATGATCACCACTTTCCTTTCTATAGAAAAAGCCTCTCATCATCTGCAGACTTATCTATCATACACTCCATTGAAAGTGTACACGACTTATCACATTGTGGCCATCTAAAATAAATAACTATTCATGTACCCAACATCAATGAAGGAAAAAACACACGTTTGAGATACCTTAAAGTATTGCTTCTTCTACATAGACCATGGCCATGACATAGAGAAGTATTATTATTTATAAAGCCTTATAGAGGAGTGCATGAAGGCTAAACTGTTGAAGGAGTTTTTCTCGCTAATGATGATCGATACTAAGGAAGGGCTATAGTAGAAGGTATCATGAACGAGCCTACTCCAAGTCACAAATTTTATATTGTGTGTGTAGTACCTTCCATCTTATTCATGGAGTGAGTGGATTCCCAAGTAACTTTAAAGAGGATAAAATTCTTTGAAGCCAATTCAATATCTACCTTATGAGCTCCAACAATGATCATTACCTTATCATTTTCTATAAATTCTTTGTCGGACCACCATCTGAGGCCCTCACCTAGCCTTTGCCGGACCACCACTTGAGGCCCTCACCTCCGCCGGACCAATGCATGATGGCGTTGCTTCATTGGACCACCACCTAAGGCCCTCACCTTCACCAGACCACCACTTGAGGCCCTCACCTCCACCAGACCACCGCCTGACGCCGTTGCTCCGCCGGACCACCACTTGAGGCCCTCACCTCTGCCAAACCACCGCCTAAAGCTGTTTCTATGCTAGACCACCACTTGAGGCCCTCACCTCCACTGGACCACCTCCTAACGTCGTTGCTCTATCAGGCCACCACTTGAGGCCCTCACCTTTGCAGAACCACTGCCTGGCGTCGTTGCTCCGCCGAACCACCACTTGAGGCCCGGACTTCTGCCGGATCACCTCTTGAGGCCTAGACTTCTACTGAACCATCACGTGAGGTCCAGACTTTTGTCAAGCCACCACATGATCCCTAAAGTTCTCCTGGAATATCAACCTACTACTATGGTCCTTCCGACCTCCATCAATAAATAAACAGTGATATTTTTATTCCTGATCTCCTATCGACTATGATCCTTCCAACCTCCATCGTCTATTATGGTCTTTCTGACCTCCATCAACAGACAATGGTCTTTCTGACCCTGGTCTCCTACCAACTACGGTCTTTCGGACCTCTATCTCCTGTTGACTACGGTCGTTCTGACCTCCGTCGCCTACTATGGTCCTTCTGACCTCCATCAATAGACAATGGTCTTTCTGACCCCGGTCTTCTGCCAACTACAGTCTTTCGGACCACTGTCTCCTGCCGACTACGGTCCTGAATACCTCCGTCGCCTACTATTGTCCTTCCGACCTCCATCAATAAATAGACAATGGTCTTTCTGACCTCAGCCTCTTGCCAACTATGATCCTTCCGACTTCCGTCGCCTATTATGGTCTTTCCGACCTCCATCAATAGACAATGGTCTTTTTGACCCCGGTATCCTGCCAACTACAGTCTTTCGGACCTCTGTCTCCTGCCGACTACGGTCCTTCCAACCTCAGTAGCCTATTATGGTCCTTCCGACCTCCATCAACAGATAATGATCTTTTTGACCCCAGTCTACTGTCAACTACGGTCTTTCGGACCTCTGTCTCCTGCCGATTATGGTCCTTCCGACGTCCGTCGCCTACTATGGTCCTTCCGACCTCCATCAACAGAAAATGGTCTTTCTGACCTCGGTCTCCTGCCAACTACGTTCTTTCGGACTTCTGTCTTCTGCCGACTACGGTCTTTCATACCTTCGTCGCCTACTATGGCCCTTCCGACCTCCATCACCAGACAACGGTCTTTTCAGCCTCCATCCTATCGACTATGGTCATGCCAACCAAACAAACATGTCTATTATTGTAACTTCCCCCATGTAATGTGCTCTATATGATGTACATTTGTAACATCAAGCTAAGGCTTTCTCCCTAAAAAGTGCCTCATTTTTAATCGACTCCAAATACTAGTGGATTCATTCAAACTAGACAAGACCTCGTGTTTTTTCCCCATTTTCAGGGGTTTTCCATGTTAAAAACTCTAGTGTCTCTTATGAATGTTACACTCTATCACTTATCTGATTGTATGTTGTATCTTCGAACAATGCTAAGATGTTAAACTATATATTTCTCTACCGCCGCGAATACTCCAGGATGCAACTATAATTTGAAGGATAAACCAATAAATTTAAAATTGCAGAAAATGATCTCTTAAAACTTAACAAGAAATACCAAGATCTTTATTAATAAAGTTAATTACATTCATGCCAAGTTGAACTTATGACTCAGTTCTCTTATAAATAATAAAAAATAGTGGTAAGATGATCAGCTTCTTTTAATACGCGTGCAATTCTTTGTCAAAAACTCAAAATAAGTATAAAAACAAATTTTAGAAGTTGAAGTGCAAGGGGCGTTTAAAATTAAGCCGCGAAAAGGCAATCTTATGATACAAGAAATCAATCATGTAGAAAGGTCAGCTCAAATTCCATTTATAAAAAAATTTAAAGAAAAAAAAAGAATTTTGTACAGGTTAGGTTAAATCTACGCTTTAATATTTTCCATCCCCAGCCTGGTCAAAGGAAGTGAATAATCCACTAGCGAAGCATTGCCGCTTCCGGTAAGCCCACCTCATCGACCAGTTCGAGTCCCAGCGCCCGAGCCTTGTTCACGTAAAGCTTCTTTACATTTCCTCTCTGCTGACTAATTAGTCTCACCAAACTGCGCTTCGCATTCGGCCGAAACTGGCATCCGTCGCCCCCTCCAAGTCCGTCAACAAGATGTAGATACGCCTCAAGGTCATGGCAGCACGCCGGATTAGCGTCCGGCTTAAGAAACGGCGAAACCTTACTATCCACCTTCAGCTCCGTCCCGACGTGCTCGTAACCACCACAAAACCAGGTCGGCACCCTCGTCACCAAATCATGCGCGTTCACCACGCGCAGTACTTTAGCCCCCCTCTCATCCACTCGCTCCGAAAAAGCACGGTTTCCGACCATCGGGCCGCCGAAAGAGTAGACAGCTATCGGGGGCATTGATGCCTCCATCGCAGAACCGTTGAGCTCGTCGGCGATTAGAATAGCAAGCGCTGCTCCCAAGCTGTGCCCTGTTACTGTTATACTTAGTTCTTCATTTTTGTAAATTTCTACTAGCCTGCGGATTTCTTCTGTTACAGCCGAGGACAAGCTTGGCTTGCTAGCGCCAGGGGTTGTGTATAAGCTATGGAAACCGCACTCAACTTTCGCCTGGCTAGCGTTGAGATGTGGGACGAGATTGACGCGAAGATTCTCGGCCCACTCTAGGGCGGTTGCGGTGCCGCGGAGCACTATAACAATGTCGCGACGGCCCATGCGGCGGATCTCGCGTTCGTTGTTGCAGACAGCGACAAAGCCGATCCAGCTGGAGCTCAGGGAGCTCGGTGAGGTCCAGGAAGGGATTCGGATGGAGGAGGTGGCGAAGAGATGGCGAGTGAGGCGGTAGGAGCGATCGGGGAGCTGGGGGGCGGTGGAGTGGAAAAAAGCGTGGTAGGCGGAATGGATAAAGTCACCGTAGCGGAGGAGTTCGCGGCGGAGGTCCCTGTCTAGCGGGTCAACGAGGCCCGACCAGTCCGAGCAACCGTGGAGATCTCGCCAGCGTGGGGCGATGTTTGTGCGGGGAGAGGAGTGCCGGGAAGTGTCGGAGAGGAGTTGACTGAGATGGGAAAGACTGCGGGGGGAAACATTTTCCTCTGTGTTTGATTGAGATATGTGGAGAGGAGGGATGCGGAGGGTGGTGGGGAGGAGGCGGATGCGTGGGGCTGGTTGCGGCGGTTGCGATTCGGGGTGAGGGCGGAGAAGTCGCTCGAGGTTGGATAGATGGGTTTGATTGGCTGGTGCCGATGACAGGGATTGGATCATTGGATAATATGCATGAGAGAAAAGGGGAAAGGGGACGGATTGGCGCGCGAGAATCACCAATGTTGCTGCCCGATTTGCAATAAGGTTAGGTGACGTAAGACATGTTGGTGAGAAGGGAACTCATATATCCTAAATGATTGGTGAATCTGAAAGGGCGCTTGTATGTCTTATGTTTAAAAAAAAAAAAAAAAAGGTGTACTACGTCGTAGGTCAAATAGCTTGATTCTCAAGAATTCAGGTAGAAAGACGATATGGCCCCATTTTAAAACATATTATTTAGTTCACTAGGTTGCGTCGGTCGAACACCTCGTAGGAAGTACGGGCCAATAACTGCAATCATGATTAAATGGCATTTTGACTTGTTAAATTCGGTAAAAATCCGATTTATTTTTAGTCGCGGTGAAGATACACTCGTTTGTTGAAGATATACTCATCCCTTCTAAACTTTGCATTCTATTTTTTAAGTTTCTTGGCTTAAGACTCACATGCCTTGTATTATCAAAGAGAAACAAGCTGGATTTATCACTAGAAGGATTTCCACTGACAATATTATCTTTGCTAAATAGCTTCTCAAATATTTCATGAAGTATATAAGTGATAATTTCATATGTGCTAAATTTGACAGTAAAAATAAGTTTTTTGATATTGTTTCAAGAAAAATCTTGTCTGCCATAATAGCAAAGGAAGGCTTTTCTTATGCCTGTTTTTCAATGGATTTGAGATTGCATTGTGGAAGTTAGATTCTCTGCCTGTATGGATGGTTCTCCTGAGAACTATTTTTCTTCATTTACTAGTTTGAGACAAGGTTGTCCGTTAAACCCTTGTCTATTATGTATTGTTATGGACGCATTCTCTTGCCTTATTGATTCTAATGTTAATGTTTTTGATGCTTTAGAGTTTGATGGGTTTAAGATTTCTTATCTGTTATATGCTGAGGATCTTCTTGTCTTTGGGAAAACAAATGTTATGAATTGCAACAAATTGAATCAGATTTTACATACTTTGCCAATTATTCTGGGCTTCATATTAACTTTAAAAAAAAACTCTCTCATATTATATCACAACAACTCCATAGAAGAATCAGCTATTTGTTTAGCCCATAATATCCCGGCCACCAGCTCTCATCACTTCTACCTTGGGATTCCTATCTCTCCTAAAATGAATAGAATTGCTGACTTCTCTTTCCTTTTGAAGATTATCACTAACAAGCTTTCTGGTTGGAAAGCTAAAATTCTCCCTTTTGCAGATAGGTTACAATTTCTAAAGTTTATTATTTGGAGCACTATTATTTATTGGATTTGTATAATACCTAAGACTATTCTTAAGCATTTAGGGAAATTATTCTCTATGTTCATTTTCTTTGGTAATTGTTATGTTTCCAGGTAACTTCACCTAGTCGCTTGAGTTAATGTCTTTGAAAATCCAAAGCTCAAGGAGATCTTAGTATTCTAGGAGGCTAGTAATTTTCTCCTAAGACCCTCTTTATGTTAGTTTTTTGAATGGATTGATGATAAGGTATACTATGTGGCTGGTGTTAAGAACCTATACTTGGTCGTCACATGTTGTGTTGTCTATTTCTTTTCGAGGGAGAGGAATGATAGAAGATATGAGAATTTTGTGACTAGCTCTACCTTGGTTCGTCACAGGGTTATGAAAGCTATTTTTTGAATGTTTTGAAGTGAAAAAATGGGCAAGATCATTGGGAATTTTTGTAGTTTTGGTAATATTCTATTGGGATTTATAATGGTTTCTATGACTCTTAAAGCTTCTGTTGCTGCCACTTTTTGGTTGCTTTTATGTTGAAAATTTTTATATAGTTGGGTCTTTACTTTGCCTTAGATGATGATGAACCCTTTATCACCAGACTCATCACCTTGGATGGTCTTTGGGAAACCAAGAGATATTGTGGGCATCCTTTATTTCGATCTGAATTCTATTTTTGAATTTTTTAGTCCATGCATTTTCATCTAGTTTTCATTTCTCTCTTATTTTGCTGCTCTTCAGCAACACCTCAGCAACTTTATATGGCTTTGGATTTTTATTTTTCTTACTGTCTGGGAGATCGATGTCCATTTTGAGCTAGATCCTCTTCTTTTTTACTCTTTTTTTAGATAGATCATGGAGCTCGACCCAATTTGAATAAATCCATAATTATTTACAGTCGATTACAAATAAGGCTTTTCCTTGGGGTGATGTCCTTGTCTTGATGTTGTAAATATACATCATACAGAGTGCATTACTTTGTTGGCATTGAAAGAATCAATATTGGCATGTTTGTTTGCTCGTTAGGCCATAGTTGGCGGGTGACGAAGGTCAAAAATATCATGTTTGGGTGAAAGTGGTTGGAAAGATCATAGTTAGTGGACGATGGAGGTAAAAAAGATCATATTTGATTGATGGTAGTCAAAAGTACCATAGTTGGTGGGCGATGGAGGTAAGACAGATCATTGCCAAAAAATGGAGCTTGGAAAGACTGTTATATGGAAAGAGAGGTCGAAGGATCATAGTCGGCTAGATGAAGGAGATAAAAAAAGGCCATTGTCTAGAGGTGAATGTCATAAAGACTGTAATCGACGGGTGACAGTAATAAAAAAGATCGTTGTCAGGAGATAGAGGTCATAAAGACTATTGTGTAGTGATAGAGATCTAAAGGACTATAGTCGATGGGTCGCAGTGGTAAAAAATATCGTTGCCTATTGATGAAGGTTGGAAGGATTGTAGTTAGCTAGCGATGAAGGACAGAAAGATCGTAGTCTGGGGATGGAGGTCAGACTACAACCAGTGGACGACAGTGGAAAAAAAGATCATAATCTAGAGATAGTTATCTGGGGGAGGAGAGTCTGTCAATAATCGATGGCCAGGTGAATGTCCAATAATAATTGGTGGCCGGGTGGAAGTTGAACAATGGTCGGTGGCCGGGCGATAGTCCCATGACAATCGATGGCCCAGATTAAGTTTGACGATAGTCCGACAACAATTGATGGTCAAGGAGGAGCTTGGTGGCTAGAGAGATCTCAATTTTTTTCTTTCTCTCATATCTTCTTTATCTTCCTTGCTCCTCGACTTGTATCCCTTTTCCATGAGAAATGAGGGGTCTATTTATTATTTTTTGAGGGTGGCTAGACTAGTAAATAGTAGGGAGATCAAGGGAATGTTGGGAGTGTTTTGAATGGGAGACCAGTATTGATCCCCCTGATCATGAACCATTTACTAGGCATTTGAATGTATTAATGGCTCGTTGGATTCGTCAAGTCGAGCACCTTGATTCAATTATAAGTATCTCACATTTGGAAATTGTTTGATCATCTATTTTATAGTTTGAACCGTTCAAATGCACTTTGGGTCTTTGATTTGAACTCATTTGGGCTCGAATTGAGTCGAATTTGGTGTCGATCGGTTTGTCTTTTCGAGACATTAATTCAAATTTGGATTTAATTTCAGAAGTTTACAACTCAATTTTACCTCAAGACTTATGCCCAATCATGATTAATGTTTGAGGATATATCAATACTATTGGATTGAGAAGAGCACTGAAATATATATATCAATAAAACAAATTAAGAATTAAAAGTAAAGGGAAGGGGATGCAGAGAGAATGCGTTAATGTTAATTTCTTTAAATGCACATTCAACATACTTCATCTTTATAACACTATTAAAATTATTAGAAAGAAAAATTTAATGATTTTCTTAGAATATTTATGTAAATGGAAAGTTCACCCACTTCTAAAGAGAAAAGTTGTCAATTAGAAATCTCCTTGATAAAAAGAAATGTATTCAAACGAATAGATTCAATAAAAATACAATTGATTGATCCGTTCAAAGAAAGCACACAACATATGTTGGAGTTTCACTGCATAATAACAAAGGCATTAAAATTCAATGCTAAAGCATCAACTCGCTTGCTCATTACAACCATCAAATTAATAAAGATATGGTGTTTCACACCCTAACTTCTAAATTGCAAGGTTTGTCTCTTTTATTTTTTACATTTACAATCATCTAACATTTCAACTATTTAACCAGAACTTACAAATTGCATAAAAATAGAAGAAAAAGAAAAGTTGTATTTCATTTATATTTATCCAATATGTACAACTTGTATAAGCCCAAAAATATACATATATGAGTCATGGAATAAAATAAACTAGGTTATCTCGATGAACATATGACTACAAAATAAAAATGCTACTAGAGGCCCCAATACAACTCATCCTTAATCTTCCTTACCTATCTTTGAAAATATATAAAAACTACATAATGAGGATTATAACCCAATAAGTTACCAATATCTACAACCAAAACAAATGCATATTACAAACTAAATCATATCAATATAAAATTGAATAACATGGTGGCCTTTCAGTTTCATATAAATCTGTTAGATACAAATTTAACATTTAAAATTAGTGATCATAAGTAGTCGGTATTATATATCATATCTCATCAATCAATATTCATCAGCCTTATTCCTTTTATCTGTCATGTACTATCATATACTATTAGTACATGTATCCATATCATATGCTACTTATACACACATATCAATGTTATACGGTTTATTTATGAATGCTATTAATATATGCATGTATCCATGTATGATTTAGAAAGGTTGGGCATCAAGTTTTAATGTGATATTATTATTTTTTTCAATTATTATCTATCTCATCTTTCATTTATTTCTATTTAAAATTTTTTTTCACAAGTGACTTTCAACAATCATTTAAGAGTTATCACCTATAGTTTTAGGATAAAGACATGTTCATTTATAATTTACAAGAGTATAATTCCCCAAAAAAAAAAAATTTACAAGAGTAATGATTAGAAATAACAACATATCATATTTTTGCTTTACTTCATAGAACATTTCCTATAATTTTAGGAAGAGACAAGTTCATCATGTCTACATGACGCTCTTTTAAGTAATCCATCTAAGTTGGATCTTAGGAGTGCTCAATCGTGACCTAATGATATATACCTCAAATCATTCCGATATCAATA